AGGAAATTACAACATTAAAAAACAAATAAGTATTTGACTATAAAGATAAATTAAAATCAAATTTGAGTAAATCAATACAATATTTTTATTTATCCATATTATCACTCACAGAGGCTAACTGGATTTCGCAGTGCAGCATCCTTCTTCCATTCACACACAGCATGTATGAATGCCTACTTTGACCCAGGCCCCACCCATGATCCTGGAGCTTTAGAAACAAATATTTATTTATTTATTTATTTATTTATTTATTTTTTTAATATATTTTTTATTAAGATATTACATATGTGTCCTTGTCCCCACGTTACCCTCTACCTCCCCACCCCCCCACCCCACCCCCGCTTAGAAACAAATATTTAAAAGGACTGTTTTCAGGGCACCCATGTCCAGGTCTTCACTGCATTTAGAAATGGCTAAACCCCTTTTATTAGTTAAGTAAAACCATTTATCAATCATCCAAAATACAAATTAATCTTCATATCAAGAACCCAGCACTTACAATTTTGTCATATGGACTTTGGGGTTGGCTCATTCCATCAACCCAGCAAGAACAAAACTCATGGTGGTAACCACCAGCCCACGTAGGGCTCTAGACTTTCTCTGCCAAGCCCCCACACTCTGATAAACCTTTACCCACGTCAGTTAAAATGACTGTGCTCAACCTCATTTCTAGCTTCTTGTGTGACTTCTGTCCTCTGTTCAGTTCAGGAGCACTCCGTCCTTTCAGGCTCACACTGCCAGGGCTAGTGTCTTTCTAGACACTAGCAGGACAGAAATGAACAAGATAGTCAAGGTCCTGCTAATGGAGCTTAGTCCCGATGGGATAAATAGAAAATAAATATGTGAAAAAATTAAAAGATTATTGCAGATAGCGAGATGAGCCTTGAAGACAATGGGAAAAGGTCAGATGGTAGAAGTAGCAAGACTTGAGATACAGAGGTCAGGGAAGGACACTGACAAGTGCAGACCGATGAGGAGGAGTGTGAGTGGCCACGGAAAATCATGGAGAAGGACATTCTAGGCAGAGGGGTGGCAGGTGCAAAGACCTGGAGGCAGGAGAGAGCAAGGTGGGTCCAGAAACAGACCAATGTCTTCTGTGGCTGGATCCTTGTGGCCAAGGGGAGAGGGTCAACCTGAGCTGGTAATTTCATTCACACCCTCATCTCTCAGATCAATTACCCCTGGTTCTTTGCATCATTAAGCTCTTCCTCTCCATCAGTTCTTTCTCCTGTATTTCAAGACATTTTCAGCCTAGAAAGGTATTATCCTTAACTCCTGCTGCTCTTTGGGACTCCACCTCCCTTTTAATATCAGATTTTCCAAAAACAACAACAACAATAGAGCGTTCATGAATCCCCACTTCCTCCCTACTCTCTCACTTACCGTGTTTCTGTCCACACTATCATTTTCAGTGCTTTGTCCAAGATCATCAATGACTTCTCAGTTTCCAATCCTGTGACCTTTCCACCACCCTTATCCCTCCTGATTCTCTGTCACATTCTTGAAAATACTTCTTTCTAAACATTCTCTTCCTTTATTTCCATGAAAACTTATTCTTCTCATATTCCTTTTACCTTGATGACCCTTCCTTGACTATTTTCTCCCAGACTCTTAACTTAAGCTCTTTCTTCACCACTGTTTTCTATTTCCCCTCCTGAACAGGCCCTCTTTGTAGGTGACTCCTATGATTCACCTATGATTCCCCACAAATGTTCCTTCAATAGCAAATGAACATCACAGCTAGATGTAGTGATGGCATTTCCAACTCAACATGTCCATAACGGAATTAATCTTTTCTTCCTGGAATCAGAAAGTCCTCCTACATTCCCAAATGATTAAGGATTGGTTTATATTTAACCATTCTAATCAATGCCATCTCTGAGATGCTTCTCAAGCATGTCTCCTCATCCTCACTGCTGTATGTTCACAACCTTCGTACACCTCTAGTGTGTCCTCAGGACCTGAATTAATCAGGTCCCCACCAACTACTTCCCTGCTATGGCAGCTTGCCAACACTGACAGATTTTCCTAATAATCACTTGGCTATTGACACTTCATTTCCTCAAAATCTTCAGTAGCTTCGTACTGTTTCCACAGTGAAGCCATAGGCTTATCACAGCTTTGGAGACTTGCAATGATTTCTAGCTGTCTCTTAGCCTCATCACAGTCACTCTGCTTGACTGACCTCTATGACATGTGCGCGGTTCTGTTTGCTCCTACTGTTGTCCCTTTGGCTTAGAATGCCATCTTACATATCTACTTATGTTTAGTTCAAGTGACATCTCTTCCAGTTAATCTTCCCTGATTGCCTTAACAGAAAAGAATTCTCCCCCCCAATCCATACTCTACCTCACATTACAATTGTGTGTATGTGTCTTGCAGTCGCTGCTTTTTAGAATCTACTTGAAGACAGTACCACTTTTTCCTTTTTTCTGTGTGTCCCCACAGTGCTTGGGATAATGCCTTTCTGAGATATAGGAAATCTTCCAGAAATATTTGCCAAATAAATTACCCAGGGTTTCTAATGCTATGCTTTTGTTATTAATTAGTAATACATATAAACCTATGCTTGAAAAATTCTATCCATTAAAAAGAAATATTTAAAACATTTAAAATGTGAATATACAATACAGAAAAATCAAGGCCTAAATTGTATGCTTTTTAAAAAATATATTTTTATTGATTTCAGAGAGGAGGGAAGTGGGAGAGGGAGAGGGATAGGGAGAGAGAGAGAAACATCAATGATGATAGAGAATCATTGATTGGCTGCCTCCTGCACGGCCCACTCTGGGGATCAAGCCCAAAACCAGGACGTGTGCCCTGACTGGGAATCGAACCTTGATTTCCTGGTCCATAGGTTGATGCTCAACCACTGAGCCCCACCAGCAGGGCTAAATTTTATGTTTTATGAGTCTGGCTTTGGTATGTCCAAATTTCTTAAACGGAGCTGCACTGGTATCTGCGCCATTCAAGGCCATTTACTTAGAATGATTTTGAACTGATGGCAGATATGACTGAAGTCAAGGAGAGGTGTGTGAGAATTACCAGAAAGGTCCCTGCAACGTCACTTTCACTCTCCATTAGTCCCTCTTTTATTTGCTATTGTCAGAGCACTAAATCTATTCCACATAGGGAAATATCCCTACTTCCTGAAACTGTGTATTTTAGCATCAAAATACTATCATTTTGTACTGCTTTGATGGAATTATCACTAACATCCTCCCTCAGATATATAAAAGGCATCTCAACTGGAACACATCCCAAACACCCAACCTGTCGTTCTTGCAGTCTTCCTCCCATCAGTGAAGGGTCACTCCTTGTGTCCACTGGCTCTAGCCAGTCACCTTGGAAACATTCTTACCTGCTCTCCCCCCCCCCCCCCCCCCAGTTTCCACCTGAACCAACAAGAAATCTGGCCAGATGTACCTTCAGAACATTACCCAAATCTGATCAGTTTTTACTACCATCACTGCTACTGCCTGAGGCCCAAGCCTCTATCATCTCTTGTCTAAATTCTTGCAATAGCTTTTAAACTAGTCTCTCTACTTCCTTCTTTGCCCTCAATTCAGTCTATTCTCAGCGTTAGGAGGCAGAGAGATCCTTTCAAAGGTGAATCAGATGTCACACCTCTGCTCAAAACCTGTCAAGCCTCCTCTACTCAAGGAGAGTCAAAGCAAAGCCCTTTCAAAGGCCCAGACACACCTACAGGGCCTGGTCCCCCTCTGAGGTTTTGTCCTTAACCTCATCTCCTCCTCCTTCCTTCTCCACCTCCACCTCGTCCTCCTCCTCTATCATCATTTCCAGCCACAGTGGCCTCCTTGCTGTTCCTCCAAGAAGCCAGGCTCCTTCCCACCTCTTTAGGGACATTTTCCTATATATTACTTGGCTCAGAGCTATGCTGCTAAGGGCAAAGCTGGCTGAAATGTGACTCTCAGATAAAATTAGCTACTACAAAGTAAGCACCTTGGGTTCTCGCTCCATGTAACATCAATGGAGTAGTGCCTAGCACGGTGTTGTATACACTATGAAGGCTTAAAATTATTTAAAGACAAAGAAGAGAGGAAAATCAAACAGAATTAGAAGATTCTTCAGCTACGCTTTTCAAGTTCTTTCTTTATCCCAAGGTATAGATTGGCCTTAAGAAACTCAAGGGACGATTTACATTTGTTATGCTTGGAACAATTCACATTTACTACCCGATTAAAAGATTTACACTTTTCCAAACATCAAAAGAAAGAATATTTGAGATTGTTCCTGGAAGATAATTCAACCCCAAATATGTCAATATTATACTAACATTTATTTCAAAAATATATAATTTTTTAAAAAATACATTTTATTGATTTTTTACAGAGAGGAAAGGAGAGAGATAGAGAGTTAGAAACATCGATGAGAGAGAAACATCAATCAGCTGCCTCCTGCACATCTCCTACTGGGGATGTGCCCGCAACCAAGGTACATGCCCTTGACCGGAATTGAACCTGGGACCTTTCAGTCCGCAGGCCGACGCTCTATCCACTGAGCCAAACCGGTTTCAGCATCAAAAATATATAATTCTAAATCTTTTCCTAATCTGAAATATCAATCTGGGAAAATATGCCATCATGTATGTTACACTTCTAAAAACTGTAACATTTAGAAATAATTATTAGACAATCTGGAAAATATCTGACACTTAGTCTCAAGAAAATTCAGGGCTACAGCCCCAGCATTCCTAACCAGTATGATATTTGACAATATTATAATGTTGTATCACAGTGTGTATTTAATTGATACTGAATGGGATATTCTATGCAATTACTTCAAAGAAAGTCAACAAAAAAAGTTAGGAAATTCCCTATATGATTTTAGTGGTGCTTAGAAATACAAAAAGATACTCAAATTGCTCATTTGAACAATTTGAAAAGTAATTCTCTGTCCCCCACCTTCCAGAGATGAAATGTGAGGGTGGCAGCCATGGGTTTCACTCTGTCTATAAAACATCGAGGTGGATACCTTACCTTTTCCAGCGTCATCTCCGTCTCAGCTGCATGAGTCTTTCTCAGCTCTATTTTCATCTTCTCTGATTCAGCCTTCAGTTTGCTGACAGTAGCCTCATGGTCCCTGGCAGCCCTTTGCTTCTCCTCTTCACGGAGAAGACCGAGCTCTACCAGCTGCTGCTTCCGCTGTGTGTTCACATTAATCAGCTCTTCTCTCAGCTTGTGAACTTGGGCCTCCATGTCAGCAATAACCTTGTTGTGAAAAATGAAAAAATGGGCAGAGACTATGAATAGGAAAGTCATAAAAGTCAAGCAGTTCGGCAGGCCAGATATTCTGAGAGGCCCTCATGATATGAAATAACTAGATTCCATATAAATATAATTTTCCTCTTCCTCTGCTCATAGAAAGAGAAATACCCAAAGGGAAAAACAAAACAAAAATCACACACATGTACAACTGCACGTGCCAAAAACAAGAAGAGCAGTAAGCACAGTCAGAAGGCAAGGTACCTGAGGGCAAATGCCCTTATTTGCATTGCACCTTCAGGGGGAAGGAATATGGGACTGAACATGATGCCATGGATTAAGTCAGAGAGCCTGTAATAGGCCAAAGTGGTTCCAGATCAGTAGTGTTATCAATGCCCACCTGAAGCTAAAACAAATGCCCTTCTCAGAAAAGCTCCTGCAGTTGAATGTCTCCAAGTTTCCCATAAATTAAGATAACCCAAAAATGAGATCATATTCAAAAATTACTAAACCCAGAAGAAAACCACCACTGATAAGAGTCAACACAGACCGATTCCCCTGGCCAGCACTTCAGATATCAGAATTATCAGAAAAAGCACATAAAATAAACATGTATTAAATATTTAAAGAAACAAAGGATGGAATCATAAATGAATAAACCAGGAGAGATTAAGCAAAAATGGCCAGATTTGAGAAAGAACCAAAAACAATTTGCAGCAAAGAATTTTTTGTATAAAAGGTAGACTAAATGAGTTAAGTTTCAATATTGCAGAAGCAAGAAGTGGTGAAACAGAAGAGAGGTTTTTATAAACCACCCATAATGCAGCACAGTAATATCAGAGGATAAAAACTATGAGATGTTGAAAGTTATGAAAGGTAAAAAAAGAAGATCTATTACATGTCTAGAGTCCCAGAAGGAGAAAAGACAGGGGAAGATATAAAACTATAGTGACTGAGAATTTTCCAGAACTGAGGAGAAGCAAGAATACACAGAAATAGTGAGCAGAATAATTATCAAGCAGACAATATAACTTATCAAATCCTGAAGGATGGAGACAAGCAAAAGAAATATGTAGCCCTAACATGTTATGCGCTTTTAAAACTTTAATTTTTTAAAAAGTAGGCAACCACTTTAAGACATTGGTAATATAGAACAATTTCTGGTAAGACTGTTAAAAACAAGAAAGAAAACACAAATTAATATTAGGGATAAAAATAAACTTATGAAAGTATTATCTAGAAAAGTAATATAATGACAAAGTAAAATAAATTAAAATTTTAATATTAAAAAGGGCATACTATGGATCCATCATAGATTAAAGATAATAAGATAATACCATAGAAATATTATGCCAATAATTGAAGAACCTAAGTGAAATAGATCCCTATGAAAATATAAAATTTCAAAAGAAGTAGAACAACTAAACAATTGAAAAAATAGTTTAAAATATCCCCACAAAGTAAACATTAAACCCAAATAATTTTACAGGTGAGTTCTAAAAAAGATCTCCCAAGAGACAGATAATTCTAGTCTTTTACAAACTTTTCCAAAGAATGGAGAAAGATAAATACACTTTCAGACTATTTCAGAAGTTATAATATTGATACTGAAGGATGACAAATACAAAGAGAAATAAAAATTATAGGTCAACTCACTCATGACACAGACATAAATGAGCAAACCAAGTCCAATAAAGTATAAAAATATGTAATCATCAAGTAACAAAGAATATAAGGGCAGCTTACCATTTATTGAAATCTATAAATGCCAATAAATATTGAATTTAAATGAAAAGGAAAATCTCTAAGCTATAAAAATCTACCAAAACTGACTAGAAAAAAGTGGAAAACATGAGTCATCCTATAACCATTAGAAACATTTAAATAGTAGTCAAAAATCTTTCCAGAAATGAAATATCAAGGCCAGATGGCTTTATTGGCCAGTTCCACCGAGTATTTAAGAAACAAATAACTCACTCTGATACTAATTCTTTCAGAGAATAGAAAAAGCATTTTTCCGCAACTCAAATTATGAGGTCAGCATAACATCAATTAAAAAACATCTTCAAAAAAGAAAAATCTTCGGTCAACCTCAACAATTATTAACAAATTGAATCCAGTGATAATACATCATGAAAGAATTGGAAAGGAAATAATATTGGTGTAATGTTAGAAAATAACCTATAATATGATTTACTCCATTAAAGTATTTTTTAAAAGCCTTATGATTATCTCAATACACAGAAAATCATTTGATAAAATTCCAAGACAAAACTCCTAGCAAAATAGGGAATAAAAGAGACCATTCTTAACCACATAAAAGGTAGTTAGCAAAATCTCAGCATTTTTTATTCATTCTTTATTGTGAAGTTTTAAATAGCTCTTTTAAAATCAGGAAGAAGAAAAGAATACTTAGTACCACTACTTATATGCATAACTCTATGACCAAAAATACAAAAGCAAAACTGTTTTTAATCATGGATGTTAGGACTGTCTATAGAGAAAATGCAAAATGTATGTATAAATTATTCTAAATAATAAAGGAGTTTAAAAGGGGTCTGAATAAAATATTAATATTAAAATCATTTGTAATTTTTACACACTAGCAAAAAATTATCAAACACTATTTACAACTATAACAATATAGGATTCTCAGAAATGTCTACCAAAAGATGTACAGTACTCTATAGGCCTTTTAGAAAGATATTAAAGAAGATCTAATAACTGAGAGATGTGTCAGGGTGTTGGAAAGTCTCAATTTATCAGTTCTTCCCAAAATGACTGACAGCATCAATTAATGCACGTTCAATGAATATTTCAACAAGAGCTTTCAAGAAACTTGACAAGCCAAATCTAAAGTGTACAGGGACGAACACAGTACCATGAGATTCCTAGAGGAGAGACAGGTGGTGTGACAGTCCATACCACATATTAGAACCTAAAATAATGTCACTAAAATTAACACACTATAATTTTATCATAGAGTAGTGATTTTCAGCCTTTTTCATCTCATGGCATACATAAATTAATTACTAAAATTCTGCAGCACATCAAAAAATACTGTATCAGTTGCTGACCTGACCAAAAATAGGTGCAATTTTGATTAATTTACAAAAAATAATAATAGTAATTACCTACCCTTTATGCTCATGTGATTTTTAAAAAAATCAAATGCCTATAGCATCTGTGGTACCCAGAATTAACCAATCAGATTCAACCTTATTATGCAATGTGACCAATAAGATGCAACGCCATTATATGATATATATCTATATCTATCTATCTACATATATACCTATATATATATCTATATGTATATAGATATATATATAGGTATATATGTAGATATATATATATATGGTTCAAGATAGGGCATTCACACAGGACGGCTATTGTTGTGTTTTCCTTAGATCAGCAGTTCTTAACCTGTGGGTTGTGACCCCTTTGGGGGTCGAACGACCCTTTCACAGGGGTCGCCTAAGACCACCAGAAAACACATATATAATAACATATTATTTTTGTGATTAATCACTATGGTTTAATTATGTTCAATTTGTAACAATGAAATTGGGGGTCACCACAACATGAGGAACTGTATTAAAGGGTCGCAGCATTAGGAAGGTTGAGGGAAGGTTGAGAACCACTGTCTTAGATTGTCATTTTTTTATTTGACAATCTAAGGGAAAAGAGGTGACCACGCCCCTGATTACATAGTCAGGAATTGTAATTTTTAAAAATTCTTACGACACACCAGTTGAAAATTGCTGTCATAGAGAATAGAAAAACTTGAATAATGGAAGGTAATGGCGAGTCTAGAAACTGGCTCACATGGACAGAGCTGGCAACACAGTGTAGTGGGTAAATGATGAACCAGTCTACAAATTGTGCCAAGACAGTAAGTTATTCATATGAAAAAAATGAAATCAGATCTCTACCTTATACAATAGATAAAATGCCATTCTCTCCATTCATAGGTATATATCCAAGGGAAATAGGTCATATCTCTGCATATCTGGGGACAGTGAGTCAATGATACCACTAGATTAAGGACAACAGTTGCCTCTGGGACAGGGACCGCAGGATATGGGAAAGGAAGTACCTATAGGTAGAGGCAATCCTATCTAATAAAAGAGTAATATGCAAATTGACCATCACTCCAACACACAAGATGGCCACCCCCATGTGGACACAAGATGGCCACCACAAGATGGGGTGATCAGGCCTGCAGGGGAGGGCAGTTGGGGGGGGGGGACCCAGGCCTGCAGGGGAAGACAGTTGGGAAGGGACCCAGGCCTGCAGGGCAAGATAGTTGGGGGTGGGGGCCCAGGCCTGCAGGGGAGGGCAGTTGGGGGGGACCCAGGCCTGCAGGGGAGGGCAGTTAGGGGCAACCAGGCCAGCAGGGGAGGGCAGTTAGGGGCAATCAGGCTGGCAGGGAAGCAGTTAGGGGTCAATCAGGCTGGCAGGGGAGTAGTTAGGGGCAATCAGGCAGGCAGGCGAGTGGTTGGGAGCCAGCAGTCCTGGATTGTGAGAGGGATGTCTGACTGCTCAGTGGGATTGGGCCTAAACGGGCAGTCGGACATCCCTCGAGGGGCCCCAGATTGGAGAGGGTGCAGGCTGGGCTGAGGGACATACAACCCCCCGTGAATGAATTTTGTGCACCGGGCCTCTAGTGGTTTTAATAATGTTCTAATTCTTCACTTGGGTGGTCATTTCATGATTTTCATTTTGTTTGTATGCCTTAGTGCTTAAATATTATTTAACATTCATTACTTGTATCAGACACAACATAAAATAATTTAAAAGATGATGCAAAGGCTTTATGCCCAGGTGGTGGGAATAATCACTTAAATTTTAATACAATAATTATTTTTAACATAGTCTTTCTATTTATTATGAAAATATAAACATCTTATGATAATTTTTCCCTTTTGTTGTGGATATCTCATTACTTTTGATAATCATGTAAAAAAATTAATTTAAAATAATATATTTTCTTTAGAACAACA